AATGATTGTGTATAAATATATATTCTGTCAAAATGTCTTTATATGTACACAAATGCATTCTTTAGTTATAATCTTCTAATACAAGCAAATTGGTTCACTTATTTAGGATTCTTAAGGAAGATCAAGTGATGTGAATTTTTCCTATGGTTGGAATCAAGTGAGCATACAATAATAAATTTTCTCAAGGTTATTTTGGATTCGTAAAGAAGATCAAACACATTTTAGATTCTGGTAGAAGATCATTTGCATTTTGGATTATGGTAGATATGAAGTCATTACAAGAAATATAAAGGTTAGATGATGGTCGGTGGGATGGTGATGACAAATGGTCACAAAAAACACTATTCATTGTTATATTTTGGCAGAAAAATCTACAATAGAGTGATAAGACTATATGTATAATATATTCTAGTAGAATATTTAAGAATTACAGTTGTTATTATTTCAGAATGTCGTTATTAATCAAGATTATTATTTTATTTTATTTATGTATCAAAACCATACAATGTAATTATTTGATATAGTATAAGTTCAAGAATCGGTTTTGTATATTCTTTCGTTATGTACTTATACCTGTTTTTTTTTCTTATTTATGTTTTCTTAAATAATGTCATAAACTTTTATTCCAAGAGAATGTTATTCTAACAAAATAAAATAGGTTATAATCAGTTATCATTAAAAATTAAATTAGAATTTACATTGAATTAATTTTAAAAAAAATCAGAATTATCCCTTAAAATCCAAAACTTTCCTTTATTAAATATAGTTTAATTGACTAAACTACCCTTATAATTAAATTTAAATGATAATATCATACATGATATTTCATTGTAATATCACAGACCTTCAAAATCATAGTCATTCATTATTTTCATCTATTGGTCTAGAATTGTCTTAACGACCACACGATAGATATATAAACACATGAACCTAGCCCTATATATATATATATATATATATATATATATATATATATATATATATATATATATATATATATATATATATATATATATATATATACATGCACACACAGTTTTAGAGAGAGATGATATTACCGGTGCATTGATTGATATTATTGAGGATCAAACTAAGATTAGAGAGAGAAACAAAAATCTGAAAAAGCAACGCCAATGAGGCAAAACAACAACAACGTTGGTGGCTGGGAGGAAAATAAACAACACCAGAAGTTTAAGGTTTAAGGTTTGAGCCGGAAAACAAAAAGGAGGATTAACCATAAGAGGATACGTGTGCATCAAAACTATTATTTATTATAATAGGTAGAGATAAGAGATAAAGAAATCGTTAAAATAAATTTGCAAATAGAAACTATCATGTATTGTAAAAAATAAAAAAATGAAGGGCTATATTTGTAGTAATTTTAAAACCAACTGATAGATTGTTGGGAGTCAATCTCTAGTAAAACACATTTTACAAATCTTTATTGCAAAGAACCATCAGGCCCGACCTTGACATGTTGGAGGCCTTGAGTGAAAATCAAAATGAGTCCCCAAACTTTTTTTCTGTAAAATATTATTAAGTAAATTTGCTATCATTGAATTCAAAACTCAAAATTGCTAACATCTCGTAGATTCATTAACATAACATCATGTATCTATTCATTAGATGTTTCTAGAATCATACATGTTTACTGGAATATCTTCTTTGTCATATATCATCATTACCATTCAAGGTGGCTATGTCTTCATCTACACAAGGCATATCTTTTGGTACTTGCAGTTCAACATCCTCTTCTCTAGGTTATTCCACAGCATCATGAACTTCTTATCTAGGTTTTTCTAGAGCTTCATGAACTTCATCCATGATTTCTGGCATACGTAATTCAGCTTCTTTTTCTCTAATGTTCTTCCGAAATTGATTCTTTAATACGATGGTATTCCGACATTTTTTGACGATAAAACGATTGATAGATCCTCTTTGACTATGAATAAATTGTTATTCTTTTTGTTTTCTTTTTACGTTTAGAACAACCTAATTAAAAATTTTTATATAGACATCTTTCTTTAACAAAATAATAATAATAATCAGTGTTAATAACTTAACAATATACATTTGTAATATTTATCAAAAGTTAATATTTAAAACAGGTAGAGCACCAAACAAAATTTTTGTTTTCTAACATTTCTATGTATTAGAATATAGTTATTATATTAATATTAGAAGACAAAATGGGAAACCCATTTCCATCCTCCCCTACCCCCACCCTAAGGCCATATGGAGTGTGTCATACTCCCTCATGAAACCGCAGTGTCACGTAGTCCCCACCTTACATTTTACCATAAAAGTGTGGTTTCATACCACACCCAAGGATTGGTGCCACACTTTTTTTTTTAAATAAATAAAAACTTTATTCTTTTTAAAAAAGATAATATTTCATTAATTAAAAATAAAATTACCATTACATTGCATAACTTAAAAAAAAGACAAAAATTTAGAAAACCAAACTAGAAATATTAAACCTACAACTTAAAAAAAAACATACAACAAACGATTAAAAACTTGGAAAAAAAACTAGAAAATATTAGCGTTACGTTTTTTGACGTCCTCCTTCATCATCCACGCAACTTGAAGCTCCTCCCCGGTCAATTTCGATATGTTCATCGTTAGCACTTTCATGTCGCAATCCCTTTGTTTCCGAGCCTCTCTATCCGAAGCAAGTTGTAAAAATTTATTCATTCTATCTTTTATGCCTTGCACATTTTCGCCCATTTCTTTCGGTCATCCGACTCTGACGCTTTGCCCTTGCCTTTGCTTTTTGATTTATCCCTTCCCATCGGTCGGGAGGGTGGTGAAACTTCAATGGGCTCATCGTTGAGGTCGAAATGAACACGAGTATCCGATGTAGTTTGATCGGATTGGGAAGTTCTTGACCGTTTTGAGCCACTATCGACGTGCTCCTCGATTTTTTTTTATTTTGCCATTTTTTGTTGTCTTTGAGTAGATTCAAAACTTCAAAACACTTGAAAGACTTCTTTTGCTCTTTGTGGTAAATGTTAAAAGATTTCTCCAAAATCACATCGTCACTTTTGCCGCTTCTCCATTCCCGTTTGATGTTGTTATATAAATCGTTAAACAACATGATTTCTTTGTTCATATTTCCCCATTTTGAGCAGACTTGATGCTTAGAACGATATGGTTCTACGTTCATTCCTTTGTGGAGCCTAGCTCTAACGTGCATCCAAAACCGGTCATGTTTTTGGTCCACTTCCGTCATCAGATCTTCTGAAACGTCAATCCATGATTGTGCCAACGATAACTCTTCATGGGGTTCCCACGGTTTAGCATCCGCCTTCTCTTTTCTTTTATTTTGTGGTCGAGCGGGTCGAGCGGGTTGAGTTTCTTGAAAAAATTCGGGTTCGGAATCGGAAATGGGTGTTTATGGTTGTGATTGTGTTTGTGGAACGAATTCGGGTTGTGTTAGTGAAAAATACTCCGGTTGAGAAACAAATTCAAAAGGATTAAAATCCGGGTCACGTTGTGTTTGTGTTTGTGTTTGTGTTTGTGGAAGTGGTTGTGAAGGTCGTTGTGGTTGTGAGATACGTTGTGGGTAGTAAGGAACATTCCGCCATAGTGGTAAAAAAGTGGCGAATAAATCGGTTGATCGAATGAAGGTGGTGGGTTGTGGTGTTTCTAGTGAATGTTTTTTGGTTGATAGGCTTTTTGGAGGATGGCATTTTGAAAGGTTTTTGAAAGAAAAAAGATGGTAAAACATGAAGTTTTGTGAGTTATTTTGGTTAAAATGATTGTGTATTTATAGTGTTAGTAAAAAAAAATTAATTTTCAAAAATTTGACCGTTCCCAAACGGTAAAGAAGCCAGCCAATCACAAACATCCTCCAAGCGCTCCCGTGTACTGTCGTAGTGTGACCCTAGCCGCACCCAAACCGCGGTCTAGGGGCGGTGTTCCAGTCGACGTGTCACAGGTGGTGCGGTCTCTACCGAACCCACTCCCGCCGGTCTAAAACTGCCAATGCTCTACTCTGACCCCTCTATACCAAACATTGAAAAATAAAAGCTACAAAGCATACTGATCGAGTGATTAACACAATTCACAAGACAATATATTATATATAAGGAAAAACGAAGAACATTGTTTTTACTTTATTTTTACTTTCTCTACTTCATTATGAATTCATAAATAAATTATTCGAATAAAAATGAGCATTTAGCCTAGGAGAGAAAAAGATTAAGCACGGTGGGATTTGCGAAATTTAAAGAAATAAGAGATACTAATCTGTAATTTGGGAGTTAGTTACAGGACTTAGAGAAGGACAATGAGACTACCAACAAATCAGCGAGATATCAAGATTCAAGACAAATAAAGACAATTTTCGGCGAGAGAGATGAGCAACACCAACGATCTACTGGTACCGTTATTAGGTTTGTTAGGGCTTGATCTTTTGGTGAGTTTTATAAACACTATAACATCTGGTTGAATTTATATTAGAAACATATATGTATTTTTTTTATATATACTTTCCTTAAATTGTTGATAGATTATATAATTTATGATAATATTTTGATTTTTTGATTTTCGTTGATTTTTTTTACAATTAAAATTACTTAAAATTGCAACCAAATTTTATATTGTGGATATAGTTGAGCGCTATTTTTCTTAAAATAAAAACATAAAATATATTTTATGAAAATACCAAAACCGTTACTATATATTTTCGTAGAAAAAAAACACATATAATATATTTTATGAAAATACCAACACCATTACTATATATTTTCCCTAAATTCAAAGGCCCCATAAAAGCGGAGGCCCCGCACACCCCCATGGCCGCCACTCGCACACCCCCATGGCCCTACTGAGAACTATAGTCTTACCAAAAAAAACCATTCGGAGTACAGAGATGAATCACTGTGAATATTAGAACGATTGATATTCTTTGGTTTTGGACATGAATATCAACTTATTTGCATCATTGCTGAGTAGTTGAACGTAATATATAATCTTAAAACGATTTTGTTATTTTTGTCATTGCTGATTTTGTAATAGTCATTCATCTACTCATATTGTGATAACCTCTCAATTGGTTCATCTCATAAACATAATTGCCTGATGATCAATCTCTTACTTCCATTTACATAATTCTTCCAAAAGAAGATCATTGATAGACTATTTTCTTCTTAAAAAAAGTGACAGGGTGTAAATGTCTTTTTTATGCAGCTTCTGCAAATCCAACTCTGAGATTGCCATAATCAAATATAGTGTGGTAACGACGCATAAACAAATCTCCCAATATCCTGCATCACATGATACAAGAAAAGTCTGTCAAAATTAAGTGGGAAAAATATTAAATAAATTGTACGTAACATCTAAAACCATAAACTGAATTCTCTTGTCGAATGGCCTCAGACATGCATACGTACCAGAGTGAGCCACCGGAAGGAAGAGTATCCAAAGCCACAAGACCACTAATGCACTGCTCCTTATCACCCTTGCCCGTTTTAAGTATGTACTGCATGCAAAACAAAAATAAAAATTACAAGGTTAGCTATCTAAGATGTTTGATCAATAGATTATTGGTGGCTTATATAAAACTGGGGTTTCATCAACTTCTGGTTATGAAAGAGATGACAAATATACCTCATTAGGCGAAAGTTGGAATTCTTTTCCACCAATTGTAAACGAAATGGTAGGCAGAGATGAAAGTCTTGCACAGTCAACTGTAGACTCTCCCACTGGGTTTGGCACCAGGGCACATAGCTGCAAAATTGGAGTCCTCATTTTAGACGCAATAACAAATTATGTGGCAAATGATACTTAAAATCACCAGTAAAGACACTCACATTTCCGGCAAGCTTTATAATAGTTTCTTGCGTCATGTTCCCCGCAATCGCTTTATGCATAAAGTTCACTATTGTTTTACAGATAACGCAATTTGGGGTGGTTGCAGATACAGGTGATACACCATCAGAACTCCTATCGACGACACTCTTAATGCCAATACTGCATATAAAATTGGGGCAATCAACGTAAGGATAGAAATACCATGCAAGACAAATTAGTTATGGTTTCATACGTTGAAGAATGAAGATAAGGGTGTGTACTAGCTCGATATTAGACTTGTAGATTCAAAATGACAAATGGATATACAAGAAGGCTTTAGGAAGCTAACCTAACATCGCGTTTTCCATCATTAAAACAGAATGCAACAATGGGGCATATTATCTTCGGATCAATCTGTTTAGAGGTAAATTCACACCTATGGTAAGAAACCGGAACTTCTAATAAAATTTTGATATGGGAACAGGAACTTGTTTACCGCTGCTGATAACATCCCAAATATATTGTGTCCAAATGTATTAACAAGCATGCTGCATTGCTCCTTAATCAATCCTTGAGCCCCGATGGCGCTATTAATCTGCGCGATCATATTCTGAAAGGCAACGAGAAAAAGAAGAACACTATAAAGAACTGGAAAAACCAATTAATGATAATAGGACTACCTTAGTTCGAAGCATTTTAACTACAAAATTCAAGGATCATAAACCAACATTCCAATCATAATTAAATTCTATGGTATGTCGTTATTGATAAATTCTAAAAATCGTGCATTATACACCAGACATACAAAAGTTATGGGAAATATATAAATAATTACGATTGCCAAAACTAGATAACATTATATTTACATATAAAAATTACATACAACAACCAACAAAATAAATATTATCACATTTTCATAAAAATATATAATTTATATTGGAAAATGGATATTATCAATTAGTATTTTAAATCTAAATTTCTTTTATATATATATATATATATATATATATATTATATATATATATAATATATATTATAATATATATTATGGAAAAAGTGAATATACATTACAGCCTCACCTAAGCTTAGGTCTAAACCTTATGAAAATACGTTGTTACTATATAAAGATTGCGATTAAGGGATTCACGATTAATATTTGAAGATGTAGATTCATGATCTACACATAGTTTTGATAAGGACGCAAAAACATTGATTCTCTTTTACCTTCATGACGATGGAAAACATACTGTTCACTAGAGTGAAATAATAAACGGTAATGGAGGAAAGAAAACAAGGATGGT